TTATTGCATTCTTGATTTTAATTAATTCGCGTCGAGCCTTTTTGCATCATGAAGTAAATATCAACGATTTTAATGTGTTCGCGCAGTAGTGCAGCAGAGGCACGTAGATCACACCGATCGACAATTCGATGGAAGCTAATTGCTAATCTAAATATAATAAAAGTTTTGAAAATACATTTTTCGAATAACAGCGATCACATTGGGTACGAAGACGACCGACCGAAATCGTCTTACCGACGGTAAGTGAATCATTGGCAAGTACCTTTGACATTTGAAAAACGTCCAGAGTGAATTGGATATCGACTGCAGTTCTCGACGGGTAAAACCCACTACGCGTGACTCTATATTCGCGCGCGGATATACTACTTTCCAGTCGTTCCTCTTCTCGACGTCATGGCTTTGCCGCGTACATGCATTTATATTTTATGTAAATAGAAAATATAAGCTCGTAATAGGATCGGAGAAAATGTGTGGTTAACCACGATGACGACAGTAGGGGTATGAGAGTATTTGATTTTTTCAGTTTCGTTCGTCTTGAATCTGACTTGTTGAGTTCGAGTCAAGTTCAAGCAGAGTTAGGAAAATTCGAATAACTAAATTTTTCCGAATACTCGCATTTTTTCGATTCAATTGCGGTATTGTATAATATTTTACTTCATATTATTTTTATAATGCTTCGCTAGTTTTTTAATGAATAGAGCTAGCTCAGAATTATTGGATTTTAAGCTACAAAAGTGCATCGTAAAAAAACAGCTGTATCTCTGTCCCATCAAATTTTTTGAATCTGAAAATGGCGTTGGAAAGGTGAGAAAAAAACCTATCAGGTAGTTGTATGCAATTTTTTTCATGAGTGATTATATTCAGCCATTTTCTTGAAACAACGAATAAATTTTTTGATTTTTCAATTTTTTAATGTTGTATTTTGGGATAAAGTCAGACTTTTCTGCATTAAAATAATATTAATGTGTATACTAATATATACCGCTGGATTTGTCATAAAAAATCCTAGATTTGGGTAGTGTAAAAAAATTTTCTAGATGACTTTTGTCCATTTGCCCCTCGCTCGAAAATGAACTTTGCCAAATTTGCAAAAAAAAAGATCGAAAAAGTGTATTTTTTTCAATGAAATCCTACTCCTGGGTCAAAACTGACTAGGTACGTCATTTGATTTTTCAGACAAAAATACGTTAGAAAATGTATTGTTTAGATTATTTTTACTCTCAAAACAGAGTTTAAAATAATTTGAACGGTTGACCGATTTTACTCCTTTTTATGAGCACGTTTTTAAACTTAAAAAATCTATCGACACCGATTCCCGACACTTTTCAGAGATTCTGAACCCGGCTTTCTTTTCTTAAAGACTTGAACTTTAAAAATCACCATGACGTAAGAGCAATTTTTAACATTTTTGCAAAAGCGAATCACCCTAATATATATGTCATAAATCTCCATTCTTCAGATTATCGATGATAATTGCACAGCAGAGAGCCGGCAGCTCTAATTAACGTGTCAGCCCCAAAAATATATCGTTGCCCACGATCGGAATAATTCGATATTTTCGTAGAATACGTTTTTATAATTTAAAATTGAATAATACTGCTACCTTCGTTTTTATGAAAAACTAAATTTTTCCTCACTCTGTTACATTATTGAAAAAAATTGAATTCGAACGAATTTTTTTCGGTACTCGTACACCCCTAGAAGAGTCAGATTGGGTTAATTCGTTAGCGTCACGGGGAAAGGACACTGCAATGAATACGGTACAACACGATCGTAAATCCGGACCATCTCGTCAATCAGAGCATTGCGCGTTGTAGCTTCGATGAATTCGTTGCTTGACATTTGCCGCCGCATCGTTTACATAAAATTCCTATTGCTCTGAGAAATATTGGCCTTTTCGCAAACATAAATCGCACAAATTGCGTATCAAAGTTATTAGCAGGGGCATCAGCCATTGCATAAAACGCGAGTCTCGCTATATACATGAGCGCGCGTGTAGCAGTGCGTCGCGGTCCACGATGCTCGAGATGCATCGGCCGACAACGAGGAGCTCGCGACACGCTTCGCGTCCGGAGTGCCGTCCGAATGCACTTTATTAAATTGCCCCAACTCGAGCATCAACAATAAAAACAAGCATCTTCGCGGCTCACACGTGTCAGCGTGTAAATTGCCTTTTACGATATAATGTATTACGTGTATTATATGTATCGTCGCTAGTAACAGAGAAGAAGAGCGAAATTACTTCCTACGCTTGTATGTGCCATTGCAACGAGCTCTCGATCTTACAATCAGATTAATGATTGCGCAGGTGTATGGTACGTTTGATTTAATTTTTCGGTATCATAAAGATGGTCGTTGTCACAGTCAAGTTCTCTGGGTTACAACGAGCGAAATCATTACGAGAGAAACCACCGAGTAAATCAAATGGCTCTTATATGTTAAATAAATCGCAACATTATTTATATAATTGGTTATAAAGTGTTTTGAGCAATGAAGATGTGAGTGCGTCGGTTCAAGGCTCTTATTATTACTCGAGTGCATAAAATTTATTCGCGACGTGTGAAAAATCCTCCTATTCTTGACTACTCGATCGTTCAATTTTTTTTCTTTTTCATTTTTTTCTATTTCTTTTCACGCGCTAGCCTCGTTCCAATGCTCGTTTGTCAAACCTTATATATAATATGGTGCTATGCGGACTGGACTTGAAAGAGTCTCGGATCCTGAGCACGTGGATCACTCGCTTATAGGTGTGGTACTACACGTTGTGTATGATTTACGCGTCGAACTCATTTTTTTCTTCTTCATCCTTTCAATTGGCCAATAACATTTTATGACGCTGGATGACTGATGAGCGAATCATGATGCTTTATGCAACGCGCCAAGAATTCTTGTAATCTTAAATTTTCTGCGAATTAATATTGTTTGCGAGATGTAAATTGGTAAGCTATTTGTGCTGTTTCCGGATACAGCAGCTCTGCAGTAATGAAGAAATCGCTTAAAGAACCACTAATTTATGAAAAAAATTTGACGTGCATAATGAAAAAATAATCTTATTTTGTCAATCATTTTTACCATACAATTTGTATTACTTGAAACTTGCACGATAAATGAAATCATCATGTATTATTTTATTATAATGTTCGTTCATCGCTTAAAATTTTTGCAGTTCATCGTACTTACTTGGAAATGCATATTTTTCAACTTGCGATTTGAGCTTGAAAATCATACGTCCGATAACAGAGACATGCATTCGCAGCGAATGCGATGAATTTGTTATTGATCCGTTGTGCAATGGAATGTGATTCAGTAGCACATACACACATATTTAAGTCGAGTGCACACGTGTACAGGCGGTGGTTGGCGAGCCTCGGTTTTAAGTGCAAGCCATGGCAACCGGATTTGCAAGCGCCTGCATCACCTTGACATTTCCACATTGGTATTATATGTGTGCGCCCGCACGAGCATAACTCACGTGCCGTTATCTATCGACCGATTTTTTTCTCCGACTTTTGATTATTCTTAATTAGACGATTCTGACCGATCGATTCGTGTAAATGAATAAATAAATGATCTAAAGGTTACGCTTGGATCGGATAAATTACTCAAAAATACCTTTGAGAACAGCAAAGAAAATTTTCCGAGTCATTGATAAGGTTCCGAGTTAGCAGGTTGCTATAATAATAATTACACGAAATTCAATTAGCCAGTCGCGCGTACTACTTACAACCCTACAGGAATTGCACGTTTATCGTCGGGGTCGACGTCGATATATCTCCGTTTCTGCACGTGTGCGCAGCGATGTAGCACACGCATTTTAAGCTTCGCAATGTAATGGCCGATCGACGGCCATGGTCAGCTTGATATAGAGTGGATGACTGCGACTCGACTTTCTCGGATCATTATTACCGGCGTGCTTATCGCACCTCGAATTATCGACGACGGTGGAATATAATCCAAGTAAATTTCATTATCGTTCTCGGTCGGCTGATCGCGCCGAGGCTGCGTTGCGAAATATCAGAGTTGAAAACTTCGTCTACTGGGGATTCGCTATAGCTTGTTATACTCGGTGTAAGTACAAAAATTGGATCGAACATCGGAGCTATGAGAATACTAATTGTGAAAAAAGCTCAGGTCACTCGGCAGGGGGTACATCGCTGTATACCATCGGAGTCGAACGAAATGACGCCGATGGAAAATGAAAGGAAAACAACCTGATTACAATCTATTTTCGTACACGTCGAGCGTTGATGTCGGGGGGTGCGCCAGATGCAAAAAAGCTCGAGCAGTGTATACTCTCTCGAGCGAATTTTCATTTTCAATTATTTTTGTTCTCCAAATCGAGTCGCATTTCGTCGCAATACGATACCGTTACAATGATCAATCGGGAGAGAGGCGTGTGGAGTTTACGCGTCGTAATCATCCTCGTGCGTTACGCGACTCGTCGTTTGTATAGTTTCGTTAATTGGCGCGCACACACACTCGAGCCTGCACTCGGAGCCGCACGACGTTTGCACGCCTCGAGCTTTGATGTGCATCGCCTTGATAGATCGTTCAACTGAATTTCCGGCCCGCGCGTATACTGGAAATGGCTTACTCTCCGCTCATCGATCGTCGTCTCGGCGCTTGAAGTCTCATAAGTACCTTTGGCCTGATTTATAATCAAACCATGAAATCGTATGAATTTTCATTCGTGACGGTGGGGCTGATGAAAATAGTTCGAAAAATCGTCATTAATTTACCAAGAGTGAGACTATGTAGACGTAGCAAAGTACATTGTTAAATTGCTCAAATTACTCGTGTAATACTACTATGCTCAACATTTTTGCTGACGTCATTTTATTAATATATCTAGCCGTAGTATCTTTACCGTAACGATGAACAATAACGAACGAACTCATCTCAACAATTAATGAGCTGTTGCGCGTGTTTAGATAAAATCTCCGAGGAGGCTCGAGAATACAAGTGAGCTATGCACACTAGACATGATAGTTCATGATATCGTGCATAGTCGACTTGAAGCACGTAAAAGACCATCGACTGATTCTAAATACCATGAGTAGGCTTTATTTGAACTTATCTATCTTAACGAATAAATATATATGGGTCCCAAACTAGACAGAATCGCGTCGTTAGTTGGTTAGTTGTGACAGCGTGAACGTTACATTTTCATTGGAGCCATCGGTGCTCCAAGTGATCTACATTTGGTGCCAGTATTTGTTGATGTAAGATCCGACCATAAGCTAGAAAATTAAACTTGATTAAATTGACTTACTGGTAAGTTTTTTATGCTACTCTAGTAGATCCATCCGAAAAACTTGATTATATTAGTTATTCAAAATTTTTTCGCTCATTTTACTCGTAATCGCTTATGCTCATCCAGTTATCCTTGACACACAAACAAAACATGAAAATTGACAATTATTTGAAACGGATCTAATTTTTTATAATAATAATATTATACATTTCCATTCGAATTCACCTCATTATTTATTTACTTATGGAATATGATTATTGTACGTTCATTTACATTTCATTAGTCATTAAATCTGAGCTTATCCAGAGCTTATTATTCTCCTGCTAAGTTAATTTTTTCTTCAGTCTGCTTCTTTATTTACACAAAAAATTTATATCTCGCCACTTCGATTCAAATTGAATGGTTTTTCTCTTGTGTGAGACTGTTTTGCATACTTATATGTACCATTAATTAATGATAATATTCTCTCAACACCTTCAACATTCAGAGGATTAAATTAAAATGTTTATACGTTGAATCGTGTGGTCGAGTTTTCAATTACTTTTCTGAGATACATTTTACTGCTCGCGTAAACTTAATTTTCCAGTTTATCTAAAAGATGCTGACAGCTATATTCATACAAAGGTATTAATAATTACGCCGGTATATACAGTGTCGTTTTTTTACCACGTTGATTGAAAAAGCTCACATTCGAATCGGAAGAATTTCTTACAGTGTCATTTATCCAAAAAAAGCTCGAACGAACGAAAAATAAGTCTAAGCAGCTTCATCATTCTCGTGCCAAACTAATTGAATAATTAGTCGCGTGCTCGGACGAACAGACTTATACCTTCTCTAACGAGTGTTTATATATACAATTCATCGTCAGCTGTCCTCATCGGCTAACAAAAGTCGAGGTTTTGTTTTTGTTTCTCTCGTTCTCCTGTTGTTTTTTTTTCTTACAACTCGCAGACAGTTCGTTCGAAGCGGCCGTGAACTTTATTTTACGCGCAAACTCGCGCGCATTGTGTTTTATCGTTTTCGTCAATTTTGCGCGTCGACTCGTGTTTCATCAATATATATACACGAGGAATTATATCATGTTTGGCATGAGCGCAGCGACGAACATCGGGTGAATAGGAAATTCCATTTCACATTCACAATATAAACTAATGAATCGATACGTGTTTAGTTAGTGTTTACTTCTGTTGCCTATTCAGGTTCTGTACGGATAATTGCTTTATCGAGGAAAATTCGTAATGTTCGGAGCAGTAGTTGTTTAAATTTACGTCGCGCTTGTCAGGCTTTAGGGTTTATCTCTTGCATGGTTGTTGATCATTTCACTTGGTTCGACAGGAAGCTCGTTTTTCTGAAAAAAAACTCTTTCATAGGATATTGTACTAAAGTCTTTATTGCACATCTCATCGTCGTTGCACGAGCGTGTAATATCACGAACTCATGATTATTTTTATTTCCGCACAAAGAAATGATCCAATTCATTGCGTATTGATTTGCCGAAGTGCAAAGTGCAGTACGTGCGGCTATATCGGCATCACGGTGCGTCTCGCTGATCGATTCATGATGCGTCGTGCATCAATCATGCCTTAAAGCTCCCGGATTTTTTTTCCTCGCCAAAGACGAAGACTCGCGGCGATAAGTTTTCGCCACAAAAAGTCGATATGTGTCAGCTTCGTAAAAAAGGAAAAAAAAAGAGATATCGCAGCTCAATTTATAATAAGCTTTGAGAGTATAGTTGGTTACAATTACAATTAATCACTTGCGGCTCGCTCAGCCGACAGATCAAATATAACATCGTATCGAAGTAAATTAATGTATCTCGGGATGTCGATCGGAAGGAGAAGTTGGTAAGTCTTTGTGCAGACACGCGGTTCAATTAGCGGCGCAGTAAACGGAAAAGAAAATCAGCGCGAGACTCGTCGCGAAGATTAGGAACGCATCGCGTCAAAAGGTTACACGGAAAATCGTATTAACTACAAGAATTATAATCGCGGGCGATATGCGTCTTTTTTTTGTTCGTTCCAACTCGTCGATTCTGGCTCAAGGTAGCCGCGCCAACGTCGCACGTACATAAATACATTATGTTATGCCCATGCGCCAAGTCTATACGCACATAGACGATCCGCGCACAGCCTTTCTCCGCAGCATCATTATACATAAACTCGCAGCTCTCGATGTGTATACACGCGTAAGTTACACTCTGCGATATGTGTATGCGAGTATTAGAACGACGATGAGCGCATCGGCGCATATAATCCGATAATCGTGTGCTCGAGTCGCTTCGATGATACGCGGGCGCGTCTTTATACGATACAGGAATGCGACAGCGTCGAGTCCAGTGCAGCGACACCCGATACCTGTATTATACACTCGTACTCGTATTTATTCACGGGCACGTGCGATATGTACGTATAGGTGGACAAACGAAAAGTCTCGACGCGCTTGTATACGATATGTATTGGATAACAGCTCGGCAGTGGCAGAAAAATCTGCAAGTTAAATGACGACTCGTCTGGGCTTTGTCGACTGCAATAAACGAATTGAGGAAAGTTTCGCCGTCCGAATCCGGTTGTCTCTCTCTTTCGGCGACTAATCGAGTCACTTTTATAATATAGCCCATATAAGGATCGCGTGTGCAGCCTTGGGTGCGCCAAGCTCGAGTCCACGCCTCCGTCGTAATTATTGTCTCGCCACGATACGCGATATACACTGTGGACACACGCATACTATAATATAGCTATAGGCAACACCTGTGCAGCTTCATGAATATTCGTAACGAGACAGTTTTATAATGCTCGTTAGAAAATTTCATTACGGTACAGATCGCGACGCGTACGTTTGGAGGCTTGCGGAGGCTGTGGGTGCGTTCCGTCTATAGGCACAATTATTATTGGTTCACTAACGCTAACTACGAGGCGCGTGGGCCGCGAGGCGCTTCCGCTTTTTTGCCGTTCTCAACTCTGCGTAAACATACACGATACGCGCGCAAAAGCTCAGGCCGTTAACGCCTTGCATCGCGTGCTCGGATTCGACTCGACATATGTTATTGTTTTGTTTGGATGCATAATGTCAGCAGCCATAAGTACGTCTTCGATGCGCTGAGAAAATAATTGAGCTTTCGAGTAAACTTTGAGCGGGAAAAAGCTCGACGTAATAGCAAGCTCGTTTTCATAGTGTCAATTAGGAAGCGATCTATCAAAGCTGAACGTTTAATCGTCACAAAGCACGAAGAATCGATGTGATAATGATGAAAAAATGACGTAGAAATGTCCTTTTTTTCAGGCGGCAACATGTTGACACCAGTGACGCAAAAATTGAACCTCTTCTACAAGCCGTACGCAGTAGCGATAGTTACGCTCGGTTACGTTCTCGGCGAACTAGGACACTATCTGATTGGTAAGTGGGTCAATTTATAGGCAGTCTTCTCTCTCCCTCTCTCGTGCTGTATAGCAGAGAGAGAGAGAAATAGTCAAAGGGTAATGAATAAGAGTATATTTTCTCTCTCGCATCGACAGGTGTAACGAGCAAGGCGACCGCCATAGACCTGCAGTACGGCGACATAACGTGTCAGTTCAATTCGACCACCTTATCGACGATCGAGCTGCCTGTTCAATGCGAAACAGCCAACAATTCTGAAACGTGAGTATCAATGCAACCGGCTACAGCGATAAATAATGTAACCGCGTGCAAGGAATGTCTTGAAATTTAATACAGTCGCAGCGCACTTGGGCGCAACGAGTCGAAAAGCGAATCGACCGAGAAATAATTGCGTCTCTCTTTTTGGTGTAACGTGGTTGTGAGCGCGAAATACTACGTATTACGTGAATTATTTCACCGACGTCGATGCGCTTCCGCTGGGTTAAAAGAAAAAAATCAGTCGCGTATACAAATTTAATTACGCGAACTTATTTGTTCCTCGACGATTATATCGCATAACAAATATAAATTCGTCGCGGGAGAACACGCCGAAGGTGGTAAAAAGCGCGCGAGCACGTGTGCGTGGCACTGAAATGTAGCTATAATTGCACTATACACATCGAGCCTTACTTTTGTTAGAAAAAAAAACATCCTTTTTTAGCGCCGAGGGATAATTAACTCGTCACCGCAAGTGCAGCGCTCGAAAGCGTGTCGTACAAATAAACCAAAAATAATTAGCTCACCCGTGACTTGCGGCGAAACGCGTTGTAGGCATCGAAATTGTGCTTCGATGTATGCACACACACACATAATAACGACATTATCGAACGATTTGCAGATGCGAATCGCTGGAATTGAATGGCACGCGCTACTGCGAGTGGAACAGAAATGGCCTGGGATTGGATTATCAGATTCTCGCTGGTCCGAGCTTCATTGCGGTGTTCACAATCATGGGTATTCTCCTGGGCATCGCCGCGGATAAATTCAACAGGTAAGTCGAGCGAGCTACGAGCTCTTTATCTTTTTCTTTACGCCGTCTGCGCGATTCCTATTACGCTCATTACGCGATCGTAACCTTTTTTTCCTCCGTCGATCGCTGATTATGACATTTAAACGCCTACTTCGGAATCATCGACTCGTTCAGTGTATGTCTACTCAAATTTTTTTTTCCCAGCTCGGTATATAATACATTGATTAACCAACTTATTAATGAATTATACGAATTTAATTAATCATAGCGCGGAAAATGGCCTCGCTTATATAATTACCATACAAGAGAGCTTTGCGCCAGGATATTACTTGGCCGATGAACAATTCTCTGTAGCAAGATAGTTTGGCAGTCTTCTCAACATTTTGGTCACGTGTAGCCGTGCGATGCCGCGCGCGGTGTACATGCTCGATTTAAAATTGCGCTTTCGGACGCGTCGAGCTTAATTATAGAACTTGCTACTCTCTGAAATTTGGTTTGAGTGCGTCGCATCGTATTCGTCAAAGTTTTGATTTTATCTACTATTATACTCGAGCGGTACATGAAATAGAGGGAGAAAAAAACAGAAGTAATTATCGATCACAGCGGCGATGCTGGATCGGATGTAAAGCCGATCAATTACAACCAGATCGCTAGGTTTCAATTATTTTTATCTCGATCGCGCGGGCTCGTCGTTTTGCAATTAATCGCGCATGCAGTAGCGACATCCGGACAGATATTGATTAAAAGAAGGAAAAAAACGAGTCGAATGAGAAGTTTCCAAACGCATGGCGTGCATGATTTTTGTAATTGCACCTTTCAGCGAGATCATGTTCACCAAAAAGTACGACGTTGTTTTTTTATATTTTTCAGAGTTCGCCTGCTGACGATTTGCACCTTCGTGTTCAGCGTAGCGATTATTCTCATGGGTTCCGTTAAGGAGTACTGGCAACTAGTCGTCCTTCGTATGCTCGCTGCCGCTGGGTACGTATAGCTGGAATGTTAATTTTTTTTTGCTCAACGCCTTGTCGTCGTTCGACTCTAGATTAATTTATTAAGCTCAGGCACGTGGTTTCGAAGAGAGAATAAAAAAAATCGCGTCAATCCAATCGTTTGTTGTCTATATCTATTAACGTCTAGCAGAAATTGCGCGAGAAGAGCTGATATAGAGTTCTCAAGCCATGTCCCGACTCGTATACGAGATCGATATCGCGCTCGACATTGCGCATTGTGGGTATAAAATTTCATCACAAATCCGCCACTGCATCGACGGTATACAGTGTTTATCGTGCGTATTAATTAATCAATCAGCGCGAGAAACATTGAACATTCAGCGAGTGCAGCATTTATGACGCGAACGCGTAAATTTGTGCAAACGAGCCGCGCGATTAGCATAGTTGTGATCGATGACCGATCGCCTTCACGCATCCGTGAAAACCACACGAGGGTATCGTATCGCGTGCTATATGACTGCATTCCGACAGGGAGGCCGGCTGCAATCCTTTGTCAACGGGTCTGCTGAGCGACTGGTTCACCGAGAAGAAGCGAGCCCTCGTCATGTCCATCTTCAATTGGGGCATTTACGGTGGCTACGGAATCGCTTTTCCGGTTGGTCGCTACGTACCTCAAATGAACGCCTGGAATTTGGTAAGTCGAGACCCGGAGAAATTGTCTTTTGCGACTCACGACTCGCGTGTACTCAATTTCCGATTACGCAGGGCTGGCGAGTCTGCTACTACGCGGCGGGAATCGTGGGCCTGATTTTGGCGGCACTCACTGGACTGACCATCAAAGAGCCCGAGAGAACGACCATCGGCGAGGAGACCACCAATAAGCAAAACAAGAAAAAAGACTCTCTATGGAAAGTCATTACTCAACCTCGAGTGCTTCTGTTGTGCCTCGCCGCCAGTATCAGACATTGCGGTAAGTTTTCCATCGGCAGCATTTTATTCCTCCTATACTATTTTTCTCGCCTTCATTTTACGTCTTTGTTCATCATTTTATGTGATTGTGCAGGTGGTATGACTTTTGCCTACAACTGCGACCTGTTCTACCGGGACTACTTTCCGGATTACGACCTGGGCTGGTGGCTCTTCGTAGTGACCATTGGCATCGGCAGCATAGGTGTCGTCGTCGGTGGTGTCGTCAGCGACAAGTTCGTTGCCAAGATGGGCATCAGGTCCCGCGTGGCTGTGCTAGCCATCAGTCAACTCATCGCCACTCCATTTGCCTTTGGCTCGGTTTATTTCAGCCCGACCGGAGCTATGATAACTCTCGGCATCTCTTACTTTTTTGGTCAGTCGAATAATTGACCTGCCATCGAGACATAAGAAGCCGACGATTTTTGTAAAACGTTTTTTTTTATTTCACTTTGCAGCGGAAATGTGGTTCGGCATTGTCTTTGCTATTCTCGTCGAGATAGTACCCTTGAGCATGAGATCTACGACGATCGGTATTTTCCTCTTCGTGATGAATAACGTCGGTGGAAATTTGCCAATTCTCGTCGAGCCAACCAGCAAAGCCATCGGCTATCGTGAAGCTCTCTACATCTACTACGCCGGCTTCTATCTCATAAGTAAGCACAATATGATACACGATTATTTTCCCCTTTACATTGTGCCTTCCCAGCTCGATACGAAATCTCATTACGCTGCGGCTTTTGCTTGCAGGTTCGATCATGTTTTTCTTGACGATGTTCCTCATGCCTGGTGGACCAGCACCAAAGAGCTCGACCAATAACGTCGAAGCTCACGACAACAGTTCGTTCGTCAACGATCAAGGTAAAGTGTCAACGCTGGAATTGCCCAGACTGACCGGAAGAACGAGCAACGGATTCGACAATTCTCACCTTTGAGACGAATAGAGTCACGATTCGATTCGTATAAACTTTTCTTTTTCGCGAGTCATAAATATAAAAGATCATCTAGATGAGGAAAGAAAAGATTGCAAAGCTGAGATAATAAAAGATAAATTTACATTCATATAGAGACCTTTGCATATGAGTAGCAATAAGAACGTGTATAAAAATATTCCTATCGTGAAAAATGACATTCCAAGATAGGTTGAAAAATTTATCGTACTTAGTTCAAGCAGTATTGCTAAAGATAAGACCGAATATACCCGAATAATTTTGTCATTATGTTTGTTTTTTTGTTATATTTTATAATTAATTAATTTTGCGAATGTAGGCTTTGATTGAAAGTTAATGTATTTTCTTGTTAAGTGTCATCATTTTCTGCCAAACACAAACTACGAAGCTGCTATTGAGCGAAATTGTTACAAGTTGCAAAAGCTTTATCAATTGCAAGATGCAGCCAAGGTAGACGATTTTTTTTTCGGTACAAGAGATGCCAAATCTTTGCGTGCGTTATTAATCGTCGGCGCGTGCACAGATCAGACCTCCTCTCCCCCTCGGCACCTGATATCGAGTTTTTATTTTCAACTGTTCGCGATTTTGTGCAATAAGATTTTTCAATGTTTCACTTATTACCTTGATGCAGTCAAACAGTCACGAGACTTCGTATAAATATTATTATCTGTTTCCCTATTATACCAAGAACCTCGTTAAGTCACGATGAATCTGCAAGGCGACGAGATGACACTTGAAGTTAATTGGCTACTTGCATAAGATGTAGACATACTTGTAGTACACCTTAATGATAGAAATTAATAAATTGGAACTATATGATTGGGGTCCACGATAAAAATTGAAATAAATAACGAAATTTGCATGCATATGAGATCAAGATTTGTTCGACTGTGCAAACATGAAAAATGAGCAGGTGCAAGAAAAAATGTGCTTTTATTCAAAACCCTATGTAAAGTGATTTTTACTCTTTTTTATTGTTATTTTACTTGTAAATATTTTGCTTATATTTTTCCTAGACTTAAGTGAACGACATATATTTTAGATTATTTTAAATAAATAATTCGTCTAATAAAATTGTTTCCAAGAATATCCAACTGATCTTTATTGCTTAGACTTGAATATGAATTGTTTATAAATAATAATCGTCATTAAATTAAAAATTATTCCAAATCCAATTATTCAGAAAACACCAAACATTTCTCAATTTTAAAAAATTTTTAAGGTTCATTTGGTTAGTTAACATTGCAATAGCAAAAGTGTTAATCATTCATATCTGATATGCATGATACTTTTTGTACCAAAATGTTGAACAATTATAAAATAGAATTGAATTTTAATTTGAGAGAGTGAATGCAAATTTTCATTCAATATCAAAATATTTAAAATTCGTAATACTGCATACAGCAAGTAGGTTTATATTTGCAGGATCAATAAATTATTATAACAAAAATGTTTTTTAATGTTCAGGACATTTTTATTAAATCATATAAATAAAGGTTGACTCGTTATAAAAATTGGCTATTTTACGAGGATGTATCACAAGATTTAAGAAATTGTTCTTCAGTACAACTTTTGTGGTACAAGACTTTTTCTCATAATAAATTATAGGTATTTACAGAATACTTATGGAATTTTTGTTTGTTTTGTACATTTTTTATGACAGATTTAATTCCAATTATCTTCAGTGGTTCATTACAAAGTGTTGTTCTTTTTAGGATTTTGAAGAAAATATTTACTATCTTGCAATTAAAAGAATTTGCATTCGATTTAAAGTTAATTTTTCAATTTGATAATTTATAAAGCTCATTTTGTCAAAATTCATAAATTTTCCAAAAGAAAATTAATGCTTTATGCTATAGTTTTCCTATTTCAAACAAAAAAATCTAATGAACCATTTTAAAGCATACCGATACATCCAATTCCAGGTTATTTTAAATTCCTTTGATTTTCGTACAATACGTTGAAAATAATTGTAAAAAATATGCACATTCGTTTGCAAGATCAAACTTATGTACTATAAATTATTTAGAGAACTATTTACACTTGAAAAAAATCAGATTCTTCCTTCAATTCAAATTCATAAACTGATTACACTTAATCAAAACGAACATGTTCTTATTTTTACAGATTGGCATATCTTTTCATTATTTACAATTTTTTAACAACCGTAAAAAATTAAAAATCGATAATATTTGACAAAAAATCAAACGTAAAGTTTGCTAACGGGAGAAGAAGAAAAGACGTTTAAGATAAATTTTCCTGCTTTCCAATATTTATCTTGGCATAAAATTACTCAGAATCGTAGTGTTTTAAATTTTCGTTTGAAAAATATACTTTTAACCAAAGATAATTTATTGAAGTAGAAATCAAAATTTTAAAATGTTTATACAAGCAATGAAAAATTACAAGACCATAAACAATTTTTGTTGGCTATTTCAATCAATTCAAGTTAAATAGTTCATATATACAAGCGCACTGACTTCAGAGGTAGATGTACGTGATTTTGCTACGAATTTCATCTGCTATTTAAAGTATACGAAACAAACGATTAGGGAGCTTTTTTTAACAAATTAGAAATGCATTAAATTCAACATCGTGAGATATCGCCGATCGAGATGCATAAATTTTCCGAGTTTTACATGACAATAGCATACAAATCTTTCGTCTTTTGCATAGGTATAGAGGAAAATCTTAATTTGATTCTCGTTTCTTGGCTCTCATCCCGAATTTCTCTCGCAGCTCGGAGCGTTGCGTCTCTTGCAGCTCGTTCGCTCGTCGGAACATTAAGAGTGATTTATAGCTTTTCCGAGTCTAGTAAGAAAGTTTAACGCCATACTTATCGGATTGCATTATAAAGTTTCGAGTGTTAGCTTATACTTTCCGACTTGGATCCGCGATTCATCGGATGAATCGAGTTTAGTCATCGTCATTCTTCATCGAAGCGTCGTACAATTGCAAATGCACACGCGTACGGACACACACTCATGCATCATACTCAGCGCAAACATGCTCAGACTTAATTATTTAAACTATTTACAAAATTCGCCTTACGAGCTAAAATACGTTAAAAATACTTGGAACGAAATATTCGCGTCGTCGTGCCAACCATTACGGTTCATTCGCGAACCGTACAATAGTTTGTGTTATTATAAGCTAAGGTTCTTCACCATCAGGCGCAGATGGGAAACTGCTGTCATGAATAAAAAAAAATAAAAACAAAACAAAACAACGAAGTACATCACGTCTGTGAAATTAACGTCGTCGGCTCTATCGACGCGACTCCACGAGTTTAAACGACGAGTAAATAATACGACGGACACAAATAACAAACAAACAAACAAATGCGCAACTGCTTACACGCACACAGAGGCACGCACGCAGACGAGAATGAGTTTCACGAGCGTTAGACGCTAGCTAGCGCATTTTCTGCGTCCGCTACATAACGCGCTTCGCGAGCTGCCACCGTCGCCGCGAGTCGACGAGTCGAGTTACGTGAATGATTTTCTCAATCGATTTTCTCCTAGCTTCCATACGATTTAGCCTATGCAAATGCGCCAACGATGTAGAGAAAGGATCCCTGCATCGTACATGTGTCGTGCTTACACACGCGTCGAGTGAATCATCGCCGAGCAGCAGCAGCAGCGCAGAATGTTAAAACACGCATCGTCGCGCGGGGCTAACAATGAAAGTTCGCGACGACACGCGCCGATGAGTTATAAAATTTCACCTTCCAATATCGCGTCAAGTAACGTGCCTTCTCATTTGCCTCATAGAATCCATGAAAAATGCATCGTTTCACAATTTGGATGTGCGCACTATTTTAAACTCACTCTCATACCCTGTTTGACATTTCACACTCTTTTGCATTTACATTCATTATACATTCGTCAAATAATGTACATCATTTGGCTGGTTCTTGCATCATTCCTGCACACTCGACACAGTCCAAGAGTCGCATTCGCACACAATCGCTTACACATATTCGGTTAGCCGAAAGAATAGTCGAGATACGTTCATGTCCGCAACGTATCGTAAATACATCTATGTACAGTTTTGTCGAAATGCATAATCGTGCGAGTAGACACGGACTCGGAGAAGGAGGTGGTGCTGGCGAGCGGTCAGCACTCGTCGGTGGAGGTGCTCGATATCTGGGTGCTGGCGCCGCTGCTGAAGCTGCTGCGGCAGGTCTCGACGGTGAGGGCCGTGTCGGGCACCTGGACGAAGTGCACCTTGTCCTTGGGCCACTTGCCGTTGGTCCGCGAGCTGCTGCCGATGCAGCCGAAGATGTTGTACCTGGAGCCCTCGACGTTGCCCGACTGATGCTCCACGAACTGGCCGAGTATCGTGGCGCCGCTGTGGCGACGCTTCAGCACCTTCTTCGCCATCAAGCTGCGATTGTTCTTGTAGGAGAGCTCGCGCTTGAAGCAGAAGAACTTGTGCAGCTCGCGCTTGACCTTCTTCGAGCGGTAACCGAAGAGAAGCGGACTCAGGTAGGTCGCCAGCACGAAGAACGTCAGAGCGAGCAGCTCGAGACTCGGCGCCCCGAGGATCTTGGGCGGGTCCAGGAAGCGCGCGATCTGCGCGGGCATCGGCAGGTTTCGCACCAGCAGCAGCAGCGAGTACGGCGTCCAGCAGATGAAGGCCATGACGATGACGAAGGCGCTTATGCGCGCCGCCCGGGTCTCCTCGCGGTACTTGAACAGCGAGCCGTTGCTGATCTTGTGCTTGATGTTCTGAATGTAGCCGCACTGGCTCGTCATGGATATGGGCTTGCTGGAGCTGGGCACCCGATGCAGATTGCCGCTCGCGGCTCTCTGAGCGGGTGGAGTGATCGTGACGATCGGCGGTGCTTGCTGCTGATGTTGATGCTGAGCTTGCGAGCTCGAAGTCGAGGTGCTGCTCTGATCGCCGAGCTCGGCGCCTTTACTCTGGAACCCGTGAGGCATCTCGATGGACAGCGGCAGAGCTTCCTCGAGGTCAATACTGTCGCTATTGCGTGGAACATTGGACCGATCGACCATTCGATCGTTCTCCTCGTCGCTCGACTCTCCCAGATCGTCGTCGTCGTCGCCGTCGTCGCCTTCCTCCTCGTCCTCGTATTCGTAAGGATGCTTGGGATCGACGAGCAGCGAGTTCTCGTAGAGCAGATCGTGCGACGATTTGCGTCTCTGCTCGCAGACCTCGGGAAATTTGCTGCGAACCAGTTCGGCCGAATTGCATCGTATCTGCTGCTGAACTAGGTCGTTCGACAAAAATTGAGCCTTCAAGGCTGCTATAGGAACTTTGGGCGACTGCTGCTGCGGCTGCTGCTGTGGCTCTGTAGAGATAGCAGTTGGGCAGTCTTGTTTGTGCTCGATTTTCTTCTTGCCCAGGGTGAACACGACCTCCTGGAGCTCTTCGTCGAGGTTGTCCTGGTAGGCCAGCTGACTGGGTGTTGCCTCGCTGCGCTCGTCTATGGACGAGAGCGACGAGATCTTGGGCAGTCTGGCGCTGCGCACGTCCTCGTAGGAGGCCTCCATTCGGGTGCCGTGATTGTAACCGGACTCCTCGCTGAAGCTGCCCGACGAGAGGATCGGCCTCGAGCCGGTGCGTCTGGTGCGCTCGCTGTTGTTCCGGGCTGCCATGTAGATCTTCGCGTAGAAACAGCAGATGGCTATGAACGGCACGAGGAACACCAATAGCACGTAAGTCGATGCGTACACTATGCCGAAGACGTTTCCAAGCTTAGCCAAGGAGTTTTTCGAGAGCTCCATCGTGGCCGATGATTTCGATGTCGTCGTCGTCGTCGTCTTCGAAGACAGCAGAGCACACAATGTCTGCGGCTCCGGATTAAAAATTGCCCAGACGCCTAATAGCAGCGAGATGATCCAAACGGCGAGGATGAGCAGGCCGCACTTGACTTTGCCGATGCGGGTGCGATATCGCAGAGGGTCGACCACGGCCGAGTACTGATCCCAGGCGATGAGCACGACCGACAGCACGGACGAGGTCGTGACGAGGGACACGGCGCCCTCGGCCAGGCTGCAGGCGTTCGGCACCGATCCGACGCTCGACTGGATGGCGGTGTGCTCGAAGCTCAGTCCGATGGCGTTGGTCAGCAGCAGGCCCGTCAGCACCAGCGTCGACAGGATGTTCGAGCCTATCAAGTTCATCACGAATCTGTGGGAGGAAAAGAAATTCTGCTTTAGATTCGTTTGTAATTATTTATTTTACGAGGAAATTCAGCGCGGACTGTACGTCGGGACAAAAGCAAATCTTTATTCTCTTCTTTTTCGTCGCGATAGCTGCGATGCGCCGCTCGAGCGGCCTCGAGCGAATACGTGCCTCGTTAGCGCGGAGCGAAGGAAAAAATAAATAACGGTGCGTTGAACTTTTTTTGCCTGGGTCTCGCGCAGAACGTCGTTGCGTCTGAAAGACGGCTCGTGTGTGTATGTGTGCGCGCGCGCGAGGTAGATAAAAAAATTCGAAACAAAAAAACTGCTCCACAACTGTATGCATGTATAATAATGTATTGCGCAACGACGTTCGAGCCGAAAATGCTATTCGCTTTTTCGTTTCAAACTTCAAACTCAAACGAAATATGAATATATATTGTCGCTAAAGAGCACACACGTATGGTAAATCATAAATCCAGGAAAATTTGACGAATATTCGCGCGCGCTTTCGGGCTTTTAAACTTGATAATTTCATGCACTCTCTCGGATTAGCCGAGCAAATTAGGTTTTCGGTGAAGTTTCGCAAGTATTAAGTGGCGTATGCGGCGACAAAAGTTGAAATTTTATTCAAGATTTCCTCGCTGCCGCGGTGAGCTATTGCGCGCTCGGCTCGTGCTTAATATTATTGTACACTGAAATACAACGACGAGAGACGCGCGTAAGCGCGCACAAAACTTTCGTTTCACGCCGCGCGCCAACCGAGTACACGATATAATATAACGGGAAATTCAACACGGGAAGTTGCATTGGTGCGCGTGGCGATGCTCCTGCATTGTTATAATATACGCGCCAACTTGAACGAGTCTATAGAGAAAGAGTGAGATTTCCGTTATAAATATGATATTATAAGTATTTTATGCAGATTTTTCATCGAAGATTTGGCGAATGGAATCGTTTATTCCAAGCCGTGCTCCGCCCGTCAAGCGACTGAGCTCGCGCGCTTTATTTCGAATCGTTATATTGTTTGGCCTACTTTTGTGGTATGCAAACGTTTTGTATTTCCATGAAGAATCGTGCCGTGCTCTTATAATAACGATAATAATTCAAGCTTCAAACTTTTGCGCGACGTTCGTGTGCGAGCATAAGCTCGCCGGCTCATTAATAACGATGATCATTGAATTATTGAGCTTTTCGCAAAAAAAGCTCGTGCTCGTGAATGAATATTCAACGTTGCGAGTCGTTATAGCCGAAAAATCAATCGATGCGTATTAAGGCAGTAACGTTATAAAACTTGAATTTTTTATTCGTAGCATTATCAAGCTCGGATTTTCTAAGCGATCTTACAAAACGCGGCAGGTAATGTCGTGCAAAGAAAAAAGTGATCTCTACTGCTGCAATTAATTGCATCACTGCAGAAATATTATATCAACTGATCGACACTACTGAATCGCGAAACGACTCGATCGTTGGCATTTTTCAAAATTACAAATTGAAACAATTTTATAGAGCATCGTTTATTCGATCGGCGATCGCCATCGCCAAAGACACGAGATATTCATTGCATCATAAATGCAGAAAAAGGCAAAAAAAAAGAAGTGATCAAATAGCGTTTGGAATATTCGCGAAAAAACTTGCAATCGTAATGCTCGGAGTGCATAAAAAAGCGTAGCGCAGCGCGTACAGAGTCTCTGTAGGTGCGTACATGTGGCCGATCGAGAGTCGAGGAAAATCGATCGGGCTCATCTCGCTCGGGAGAGATATTTAAATGCCCCCGCAAGACCGGTTGCTGTGCGCCCGCGACTCGTCGTGATCGCGGTGGTAATTAAAGCCATTAGGCGGAACGCGCTCGATTACAAGCCGCGTATTCTATAGCCAATAAGCCGTGGTGCGACACGCGATTTCGCACGTTGCTCCGCGGACGCACGTCGTGTAGTTTTACTCGTATAAAGACTGCTTTTTTTCGTTCTTACTTGGTCGTTCTCAGTAGTAGTAGTAGTACGCACGGTCGATTACTCGCTTTTCTTCTTCATTTGGTCGCGGCGTCGCGCAATATGCGATCGAAAGCGAAAAGCTCGCGTCGCGTCGGTATATGGATTCTTACCTGTTCGAGATGTCTCGTAAGGCAGAGTTTCGCACGAAGGCGACGAGCAGAGTCGCATTCAAGGCCAGTGCCCCGAGCAGAACCAAGCTCCAGAGAGCGATGAGCAGCATGGAGAAGGTATGCGTTTCCCATACTTCGAAGGTTGTACCCCTGTGTGCGGACTGCGTCCAACCTACATCCATTCATAAGAACTTCCTAGGCTCTCTGCAAAATTAAGCGAATAATGGCCAAGCATGAGTACTTTTGCACAAGTAATAATACATATATGAAGCAATCGTTGTAATAAAGCTCTTGGGAATCGCGTGTGCTCGCGCTAATAGAAATGCTGCGCGACTCGGGCTCGCTCGGAGCTCTCATTATACGTGCGACTATATACAACATCGCATCGCTTCTCCAGTCATCGAGTAGACAGCCGATGATGCGATTTACGAGTTTACCAAGTGTGTGCGTGTGTGTGCGTATGATGCATCAATAATAGCGCGTTCACGCGGCTAACGAATGCTGATGACCGCGAACGGCTGCGAAGCGCTACATTAATGATGATATAATCGCGCGCGCGCACAGCTTCCACACTGCTCGTCGTTTATGTACGCGTGATCAATCAGACTCGCAGCGTTGCGTGAAGAAAAAAAAGAAGTTGCCCGTAAGATTTGGATCGTTTTATGGGCTTATTAATAGGCTGATATATGTTATATACGTCGGCGGGCCGCAAGCTCCATTTAAAGGCTACGGCTATCGCGCGCAACCAACTCGAGCTATTTTCAACGATTGCTTTGCCGAGTTTACTAGTTTTTATTTAGAATCTATCCCACGCCCGCCCAACGAGCGCGACTCGAGCTATCGGCTGGACTGCGTTTCTAGTAGGACACGGCATAAATTGGCATTCGTGTAATTGCGACGCGCGCGGCCAAGAGAGAAAAGCTGCCGTGTAATGCGTGCAGCGCACGGCACACGACACTTCTTACGCGGTCCGAGAGATAAAATTCCTCGTGTACGCGTGTAGATAAGGACGCGTTACATGTATATAAATCGGCTTTTCTCGCGACGATCGCCTTGGTGCAGCCAAGTCGCGACTACGTAACAGCGCGCGGGGGAGTACATAAGTGTATAATCAGACGCTCTCGTATCGCACCAGTATACAGCGATCGGACTCATTTTTTCTCTCTCTTTTTATTTTTTCGTTGTTGTACGCTATTATTGCGTTACACTTGCCGCGCTTCTGATATACAGCCACGGACACTTTGTGCACTGCTGCTTCTGCCGTAAGCTATACACACACACAGAAATATAGGTGTATAGTCGCCTTGCCTGATTTAATTAAACGAACAATCGGCGATCATATAACGCATTGATTGAATTTTATTTTATGGAAACGACACACGATCGTGCATAACTATAGGCGCGCGAGGTAACGGTACGCACACACTCGCCGGATAGATTCGCACGCTACACGATCGACTCGTGCCGTCTCTTTCCTACATACACCTTCTATCTGCGCGCTGTCCGCGACTATTTTTTTTTTTTTTGCCTCCACTTTCAAGGAGAATAAACAATAAAGGCTATTTCTTTTTTATAAGAGCTCCAGCAGAAACTTGGCGCACGCATCGCACGTCTGCATATTTTTGAGTAAATACAAATAACGAGTCAACAACGGCGGCAGTGATTCGGTTTCCAAAGTCTCGTACTAGATATATAGATGTTAATCTGATTCGATTGCCTCCTGACATGACATTTATCTTGCACGATGGATACTTGTTTGTATAAAAAAATATACTGGCCTAATTTACTTAAATATATCTTGTACGATATACATCAACATTAGAAAGATGTTAGATGCAGGTCGAGAGTCTGCGTGAAAATATCATCGCTAGTCAAAATATACGACGATAACACGCTAATCCAGTTTAAGTCGGAGCAGTGAAGTTTTATTTAAGAGAAAGTTGTCAAATCCCAATGCCGAAACTTTGACCAACACGAGCACTGCTTGGGCTCATCAAGACATCAACGCGCTCGACTTTTCAAAACTTTGAGAATAAAAGCCAGAAAACAACAAACTTTGGAAAAATCCCTAAACTCCGCAGCTCGAGGGCCATTAAATTACATCGTTAGCGAGTTAAAAAACACATTTATCTTTGATTTTCCTTGATCTTTTTTACTACCTTGTGTACAAATTATCTTTTGTGTAATTTTTTTGCGCGTCGATTGTCCGCGTGCAAGCTGTATAATGATATATGTAGGTATTGGGCCAAAAACTTTTTCGAATGTTTATTGTAAATTTGGAAAGTTGCCACATCGAAGCTCGAGTCGAATCGTTGGGCGCGATTTCTTTAAAACTTCAGTTAGACGCATGGAACCTTTACCATGCTCCACGAGCGAAACGTTCTCAAGTACGCGCTCGTTACAAAGAACGAGAATTGAACTAATAATACATAATGAAAAAACAATAATGACGAAACGAGGCGTGCGCGGCACACGACACCCACACACGAGCTGCGCTAGTTATACACAGTCCGCGAGCGGCAAGAAGGTCAGTATACACGAATGCGATCGGCGCGCAAAGTATATAGAATCGCCTAGACAGCTCGGCGCATGGAAAAGGCCGCTTTAGCATATATGTATATCGAGTGCGCGGCGCGGGGGCCGCTCTTATATATCCACCACTGTTACACGCCGAGAGCGTTTGTGTACTTTATCGGAAAATCCAGCGCAGCAGCGGCGGCCTATCGAGAGCGTTTACTCGGTATACTTTTTCATGGCTCCGTGCAGCAGGCCATTGATCTTGTAATATCGCAACTTGGTGCATACTTTGACGTGCTACACCGACGTTGAATGTAATTACTAGACGCTTTGCTTGTCGAGCTGCCTCCGAATTTCCGCCGCCGTTTCCACACTCACCTGTCCATACGCTACACTTGGTGTGTAATAACGAGTCCATTGCGAGCGAGAGAGAGATTACAAGTCGGAATTCCTGCCGGTTTAGCGTTACATAAATCAGCGGAGAGCTAGACGAGCAGGCTACACTCGAGCTTTTATACTCGGCGAGTGACGAAAAAGTTTCGCTGGATCGAAGCTGTCGATGATAACAGACTTTGTTCGGTAGATGATATAAAAATAGCCGCGCGTACAAAAATGTATACACTCGAGTGCGTTACATGCTAACAAAATGCGGAAGAGCCCGAGCTCGACCAAGCTATACACTCTATAGCTATATAGTACACTGGCTGCGGACTCTAATTGAACGAGCGAGGCAAAATTGCTGGTCTCTTTTTTAAAAGCGCGATTTTGTAATGTACATATATACAGTGCACCCATACACGTTGAGTAAGTAGCCGTGACAAAATAATGGCTCGCCTTCCACCACCGTCTCACCGCTATTATACTATAAGCCTCCCGTCGCTCGAGTTCCTGCATATGCATAAACACAGCGTCCGCGACTGCAATTAATGTCATTATCGCATTATCAAATTATATCATATGAAAGAAGCCAGTGCGAGCTGCATCGTTGATTAAATTTAATTTACGATTTTTGGCACACGGGGTGACGCAGCGGCGAGGCCGACGCCGAGCCATGCTTTCGTTGGACTAATATAAGCTCGCGCGGCAGCGCAAATTCATTATAAATATGTAACGCTTCAGGAAACAAGCTGAGAATATGAAATTTATAATATACAAGATATCTCTTTCACGCGTATATTTACAATATACATCGACGTCGCTCAGACAATTTGTCTCTTTCGCTCGAGCAGTGGAAATAAACGGATGCGTTATGATCGAGCGCGGCTCTTTCGAATGGCTGCTGAAAAGTAGCGATTAATTTTTCTCTAGCATCTGTATCTGTGCTTTATGCCACGCTGCTACTGCTGCGGCCGCAGTAAAAACGAAACGACTCGGGCTAAAAAATCACTGCGTTTAGAAAGTATATCCTCGGCGCACATAATGGTCCTCTGTTTAAAGCCATGCAGTAGCGATTGGAGCGAGGAAGAAAAAAAAATTGAAAGTCGCGGAACACGTTTGCCTGCACGCGGGCGCGCGCGAGCAAATTTCAGGCTTCGCTGGCGACACAATTTACGTTCGATTTTATCGCGCGCAGTGAATTTCGGCTCGGTGAATTATTTTCATTATGTTGATAATAAAGCGAGCGCGCTATACAAGGGAAATATTATAAAACAAAATTTTAAAAATATAATGTCGCAACGAGCATCGCTCGTATATTACGTAAGAATCGCTTGAATTAAAATAAAATGGTCAATGAGGCGCTGTCAAATAAAGCCGATAAAGCGTGTAAAAATAGATTAAACAATTTGTGAATTCGTTCAAAAATGTCATTGCGCAACGATCGGCACATCGAAATTTCATGCACACATACGCGTCGCGTGTTAGCGCGTTAACACGTTCGAGCGGCGTGGACACGACTTTTGCCGCGTGCTTACAAACGCGTCTACGTCAGTAGACGAGCTTTCAAGATTGCGTATCGGAGTGCTTTAATACTCGGCCGAAAAGTTCGATAAAATCGTCATCGTCGCTCGATTGTCTTTTTCCTACTTGTCGCGGACTTGAATCGAAGCGCATGTTTAAGTTATTGTTTAAATTACCATTGACTAACAGAACAGATGAAAAGTGCACGTGTAAAATGGCTAATCGATCAGGGAGCGTTGCACAAATGCATCGCTGTATTCTGCTGTATACACTGCCGATGCACGAGCTTACGTTCTCGAAATATCTCAATAGATTCATGGAATCGTGATTGTATAGGCCAATTGAAGAGGCGCAGGCAGTACCATGCGGATCGCAACGTGACCTTTGCGTTCGAATGTGCAACTTCCAAGCTCGATGGAAATTAAATCAACACCAACGAAAAAAAAAACGCAGAGTCGAGGATTAAGAGACGTTATTAACGAGAGCAAGGATGCAAATGAAGCTGTGCTCAGTAGTCGATGTACACGTCGATCGAGGATGCGCTCGTAGCTGCGCGGCATCAATTTGCATCTTTTGCAAAGCGTCCGCATACACGAGTCGGAGCAAGCGCGGGAGCTTAAAAGCGTTATTGGAGCGCGTTTTAACGCCTCGATTGGCTGCGCGCATATACAGATATAGGTAGCAGCGTCTAAAACGCATCGCTGCTCGGCGCGCATCAATAAAACCTGTAAACAAGTAATTTCCCACGGCTTTATTGAGAGATTCAATAATAGCCCCACAATATGTTACATTCGTGTCGCGTGTTGGTAAGTTTCGCGGGCGAGGAAGAATTCCACAGGCATTATGTAGGGATGGAAGAAATGCCACGTTTCGTGCACCGTCTAATTCGCGCACGAAATGCGGAAATAATTCATTTCACCGTCTCTTAAATTGGGTACATGTGTCGGAGTTTAATGTAGTTTATAAATCTCACGTTATCCACTTACGTCCATTATTCGCTCGTTTCTCAGTAATTGAGAAAATGTGTAGACGTATCAAAGCCGAGTGGTGTCTGTCGTGTATATATTTCTATATCGTAGCTGCGATTCGTGTACTCTCGCTTATAAATGTGCAGCTCAGCTCTACCACGGAACGAAGGTGTGCACATTTCCCCACATTTATTTATTTCACAAAAATGTCGTCCCCGCGCGCAAACAATTATAGCAGTTTCCACACTTTGAGCCTAGCAGGCTGCAGTGCGATATAAGTGCTGATACACGAGGCCGTGCAGGATACAAGTATATATGTGGCGCGTTGACGAAAAGTTTGAAAAATCTCCTCTTACTGCACACGATCGCGCAAAATATTTATTTATAACGTAATACCCACGCGAAAGAAACGGCCGATTCTTTTCTTTTCTTTTTTTTTGCTTCCATCCTGCGTGCTGCATAATAGATGCGACTTACGGGTATAATGTATAATATACTGGAAAGCGATAACAGGATAGCTCGGCGAGCTGCCACACACTCGTATTTCGCAAGAGGCGTATTATGCGCGCAAGTAAAAGCAGCCTGTGCTGCACCATGGCATCGAGGCTGGCATATGCGCAGCGCAGCTCCTGCTTGTGCGCCAATGCAATTTATGAATTTGCGTCGTCGCGCACAGCTCGCAAAAAGTCGACTACATGTACGTACGAAATAGAACTTGTAAAACTTCCATTCCGAGGCGAGCGCGCGTGACACAAATTTACGTCAAGAATCGCTTCGCGAGTGCGACGTACGCATGCCTTTATACGCTTATATTACACATAGGATCGCTCGGTGCGAGGGAAGAAACGTTAACGCTTATACGCACTGCCTTTGACGCGCGCATTTAGGCGTTAAATTTGTATATATATCGGCGTGTCAAAGACCTTTTGAACTCGGTCGCGATCTGCATGCGTCGACGTTACGACGGCAGCTTATAATCGATCGAGGCTGCGCAAATAAAGCTGCCACTGCCGACGATGCTGCCGCCGCCGCCGCCGCCGCCGCCGTCGATGATGGGGAATTGGAGAGAAAAAAGGAAAGGAAAAAAACGGGATTCGCTACGATTGTCGAGTTGTGCGCGAGATTCGACGTGTAGCTGACGCGATCGCGTACGTAGCGTACGTATAAGCTTCCTCTTTTACGCGCGCGCGACGAGGTGAACGTATAAAGGATTTGCAGCAGCTCTCGGCACTATTTGCATAATAGCATTAGCCACAAACGATCGTAAAAAAGTCCGCCACGTATACGCGCGGTACTTTGTTTTTTCTTTTCGACTATATTATTGCCTCCGATGTAGAGAGATATATACACAGATTGGCTAAAGCGCTAATTCACAGACTCGCGGACTTTCCACTTTCCTCCCTCGAGTACTCTCACACGCCCATCCGAATTCTGCGTGCGGTGCTTTCCCAGACGCGACAATTACCAGCTATAAAATTTGCGCGCAAGTATATACACGAGCTGCAGAGCACAGCGAAACATTATCAGGGCCAGAGCTCGACAACGCTGACGAGCGCAGTCAAGCTCGCGCGTAATCTCTTAACGCGAAGGTAACGCGATATTCCCAACGAGCCAGATAGAATTGTTACGATAATGAGTACATGCATGCGGTGTATACGCATAAGCAGGAGTACAGTGCGATGGCAATATCGCGGATAACTCCGACACGCGTGGCGCCAAAATTTATACTCATTATGTCCGTCGCAGCAGCTATCGTTCGAGTACCGTACAGTAGGCGAGATTTATCGCCTTCCGAGAGAATTGCATATAATATGTGCAGGAGAAAGAAGCAACGAGTGACGCGACTCCGAGCGATACCACTTTATGCAAACGCAATTGTTTCTACGATCGCTGCAGTCTATGTATGCAACCAATCTATATGAACTTCCTGAATTTCGCGCAACGAGAGTGTGTACTCTTGAGGCGTGCGCTGATAACGATCGACATCGAGTGCCTCGTAGTTCGCCTACATTACGAAAACCGGTTTTTTGCCTGGCTCTCTGCCGTCAGCGCTCGATTCGTCCTGACCATCGCTCTTTCGGCCTATCGAGCGCATTCTTTTCGTTTCGCCCGTGCATCGCACCGAGGCTTGATTTTTCCTAATACAGCCGCAATGTCGATGCGTATAAAGTAAGCCATCGCTCGTAACGTAATTGCATCTCTATTATCTACCGAGCGACGGTGCGGAATTTTTCCACATTCGTGCCATCGACATCTCCCTCTTTCACGCTCGTTTCGTCTTTTCATTTATTTCTTTTTTTCTCTTTTTTCGTTCCTTTTTTGTTTTACACACTGCATTCTTTGTTCGTGAATTTATTCGACGCACAAAACTCGTGGCTCAACGAGCGAAAAAACGGCACGCGCGGCTCGAGCGTATGACGCCGATCTGCCCCTATCGCAATAAATTAGACAAGAGAGCAGAGAAAAATGTAATATAGGCGTTGTATGGTCGTGACACCGCCTTCGAGCTGTCGATTCAATTTACAAGTGTATAGCTTGAATATTGCGCTTTTCGTCCAACTGAAAATCCAACTAGTCTAAATATTAATTTCTAATCCAACATAGTATAGTCGAAATAACTGAGTTTTTCACACTTGTCGCTGAATAGAGTTTACATTTTTTCAAAATTCGGCCAATTTATCCTCGGAATCTGGCTAGATACAATCATAGGTTATAATTACTCCGAATGAAGTATCTATATCAACCCCCAAAACTTTTCAAGTTTTTCGCTAAAAATCGAACTTGGGTAGCCAAAAGTCAACAAAGAAATTAATCTTCCATTCGAGCACTGCGCTCTCGATAATTTGTTCAATTTCAGACTTGCCTCCAATTACAATAAATGAAGAACGAAATTTTGCTATCTCGGATCAGGAAAATTCTCCGCGTCCTTCGAATTTCATACTAACGAGGACTTTTGAGTAATATTTGATTTTTCATGCCAATTTAAAATGCGAGCGCTAATAAGCGCTTCAGCACATTATGTGTGCATAAATTGTATTATTACTTATACGCGCGCGATAAAAGTCGAGGGGAAAATTTTGTTTCAATGATGAATGAACCTCATAACGTCGATGGTATTTAATCAGAAATATTCAACGTGAATGACTATTGTCTTTGTCGCTTTGACTTGATGCCTAGGGGACTCGGACGTCTCTTTGATACAATAAAATTGCATATTACGCGGTGAAGCTGTAGGACTTTGAGAGTTCAATTGTAATAAGCGCGCAGCGTTAGCTCACGGTGTCGGTGATAAGGCATATATTACTTTTTTAATTACACAAGCGCATAATACTCGCACACTTACGTCGGGGATTAAACGCGAATGTAATTCGTTATACATGTTATATAGTATAAACAATTTCGCGCCGAGTTATGCTTTATCGCGGAGAGCGCAAGAGAGAAAGATGCAGATACATTGCGTGATATGTAAATATTGACCAAAGCCGAGAGCATTTGTTCTTTTTTAGCATATATAATGCCGTCGAGTTAACGAACTTTTCACGTTTTAAAGGTTCTTCAAATATATGTAATGGCTCATGCGAGAACTAACAATTATTTTTAATTCAAGTGTCGTTGATCGGTATGATACACAACGATTGTACGGCCGCCGCGTACAGAAGGATTTTTTTTTTTGAGTCGGCGCTTTTTTATGTATTAACGTTCGGCTCATTTGCTACTTAATCGTTCGTATCTATGATCTCTAATATAATTTCTGAGATTTTACCGCTAATTAATTTCGGCATTACAATTTTATTAATGGGTCTACAGGCTATAAATAATTCGACTTATGTAAGCCCGAGGAGGACAATATTGTGCAAATCGAACATCTTTATTGAGTTTGTAAATATGTTTGCAAATTCGATCAATTATAAGCAATCGATTATTGATCGGATCCTACAAGTGCTCCAATTACTATCTGTCGAGCCTGGCTAATTTCTCGATGAACTCGCTTAACGTTTTTATGTAATTGTCATGCTGATTTTTATCACGATTGCGCACATATGATTTAATAAGTTACGAACAAAAGCTTAGCTAATTCGGTGCGTTGTTCAGAGCTTAAGATCGACGATTTTCCGACAAAAGGAAAAAAAGAAGACGGCGAAGACGTAGCCGGGAAGCGTTTGCCAAAACTTGTCACGTGTCCCCTCTGCGACTCATTAATAATTTTGATCAACACGCGACGCGAAAACGAAAAAAAAAAGAGAAATAAATACCTGCGCTCACGGGATCCATCATTCATCGTCGCAAGAAAGAGAGAGAGAGAGAGAGAGAGAGAGAGAGAGAGAGAAATGCGTGTGTTCCGCCACGCGCGAGTTACTCTTGATTTTAATTGTTTCCGCGTTTTACCGAGCGAGGCGTTGAAAAATCTAAATAATGTAGTATAGTCACTCGCGCGAATGGAAACGTAGAGTTTTAGCGACTACACGAGTTGGTCGGGGGCGATCTGTCGTCGATGCATCGTGCGTACCTGCGGGCGATTCGAATTTTTCCATGGATGGAGAAAAACAATGAATTGTCAAGCGTGTGGTCGTCGCCGCGCGCAAACTCATACATATTCATGGGACGCGAAAGTACGTCACGCGTGCCAAAAATCTGCCTGTCCGCTCGCGTATCTATAGGCGCTATACGTCTGCGTCGTCTTGTATACACACTATATGGCATTCAAACTATTCAAACAATACTCACTCGGTATAATTCCGGAGAGCAACCAGATTTGGGAGAAAAGAATAAGGAGCAGCTACTGTGACTCCGCTGCTCGATATATGCACACTCGACAACTACGATCGATGTCTCACCACCAAATAATCACTTAAATGTCAGTCACTTCAAACGGTGCGTTAATGCTCCTTTTTGGCATGTATCGAAGATACCTTGGCTCTTGGTTCACTCGTCATTAAAAGAAAACTGTGTAAAACTGGTAGTCCGTTGATCAGCGAGTCGCGAGAGAATAAACTTTGACGCTGCCAAGGCGCGTCTCTCGGCGATCCGAACTGACATGAAGAACGTAGACTAGTTGACGATTAAACAAAAGGTAACGAAACGATGAAAAGGATTTTCAGCGCTTGCGGGAAGCCGTGCACACTTAGGCGCGCGGCATGTCGAATATTTTCTGAGCTCAGTTGCGTGTGGCGGCCGTCGACCTACCAGTCCAGAGCGCCAATAAAACTGAGCCAAGTTGCTAACTCGCCGGCGAGTCGCAGTCAAGCTCTCGCGCTCCGCATCCCTACCACTGCCTTTAGCAGCAGCAGCAGAAGCACTATTGCACATACACACATAGCTCCGAAGAGAGCGAGCGAGAGAGAAGCGAGTGGGGCGCAGAAAGCGAGTTTCGAGAAGCTCCGCGGAGCGAGTCGTTATTAAAGTGCGCGCGAGCTTTCGCTTCGACCAAAAGAGAGAGAGAGAGAAAAAAACGATTACGGATCCGTCTGTGGATGCGACTGCGTATGTAACGAGGCAGGGCAGATGCTGTCCGAGCGCGACCGTGAATGGCCATTGCCCAGCGCTTTCGGCGCTCGAGCTTTGATGTCTGCATCGACTTATCCTACTCGTGTCTCAAAGAACAACCTCGAGCTTTTTTTTGATTTTCCAGCGGAGAAATAAAACGGAAAAGAAAAGGAAAGAAGAACAATCCGAAAATATTACATCTGGTGATATCGATGAATAAAGTCAATGATCGATAGACACGGTGTCGCACGTAGCAACCGAAGCGCTCGAGCTTTTGTGGCTCTTTCAATGATGTCGACGAACTCTTGCTGATTGAATTTCACCCGAAACGACGACGACGACTGTACAGCTTTTCTAGCTTCGGCCTTGGACGCCCGACTCGGCTCGTATTATATTTTATTTGATCGTATCCGAGAGCACTGCTCGCTCAACATTGAGAGATAAAAATTACGAGTGCGCTAACCCTATATACCGATGCACGTGCGGCGGAAAGACGAGAAAGAAATCTTCGCTACTAGGGGGGTGGCTCTTTCTTTTGCTTTTATTCGCCGCTATCGAGTTTCGCCGCTCATTCTAATAGACATCGGGATAATGTTTATCTTTTTGTGCTATTATTGCTCGCGCGTGTACAAATTCGATGTTCGAGTCAATCTAAAATAATTTCGCACGATGTATTTTCGAACGCGTGATGAAAAATTGCCAGATTCGTGTAATATTTTTAGTATAGGCCCATCGGTCACGTGGGCCAATTATCTGACTCTTTATTAGAGATATGGTCGCAGCTGTCAGTGATTTGGCGCGTTTTTATTGCAAACCTCATTCTTATAGACGCGAATCTAGTCATCGACTCGCGCGCGCACGTATCACATGTATATAAAATATAATTGTATCGCGCGAGCTGATGATACGGGATGAAAATAAACGGGGACAGCTACTCTTTCTACATAGATAAATGTATGTATACAGAGAGCTCGTCGCAGGCCGTAAACGGAAATTAACCTTGGCCCAGCCCGGCCTGTGATCGTTACGATTCTCGATCGCAGGTGGCCTACGTCATCGTTCAAACCACATAGAAATACCATTATCATTTGATACTTGTCTCTCGGTGGATTAAGAAGACACCGCCGCGGCCGCCGCTGCCGAGCGAATAACGCTAATGTACATCTCAAGGACCGCGATCAAAGCGCAATTAACAAGTTCAATCGATATTTTTATACCTCGTAAGCGAAGAGGCGAGAATTTGTCATTGCGCAACTCTACAACCGCGTAGATAAGGATGATGTATAATCTCGACTCTGAATTTGACACTGAATACATATATGCTTATATATTTTTTCTCTCTCGGTTTCGTCTTGACTCTACTCGTGTCGTGTGCGTGTGTCTCTCTTCAGGAACATTCTTGAGACAAAGTCTCCGTTGCCTTGGGCAGAAACCTTTTTTTTTATCGTTCGTTGCGCTCTCGGCAACCACAAACAGACCATACTTAATATTTGAGCGTAAAATGCCGCGCGTTTAATTGCACAGTTCGATAAAGGACGTATGTATATTATGCAGACTAAGGCGAGAGCGCACACGGCTTCGATATAAATAAACCGAAAATAAATAATAGCCGTGTTTTGTCGACGGCATGAATTTCCTTCGTCGTCGACGACGAGAGCGCGCGCGCGACTGACCGCATAAAAACCGTCTGGTTTTCCTTCTGCGTAAAACGTAGCTTTTAATTTATTATAAATCAACGCGCGCCGCGATGTGTGTACTGCACCGATTGCTAAACGCGCGCACGTTGTTTTCCGTATACTTGTACGCGCGAGAGTCATGCACACGCGCGCGCAGCCGCAGTTTTGCGCACGTTCGGTGGTAGAGCTCGTGCGCGAGAGAGCAAAAAAAAAAGGAGAAGAAGCGAGCTACACGCGTACGTATGCAATATGCGCGGCAATTATGCGCTTTTTTATTCTTTTCGGATACGATCGCGAAGATCTAATTACTAATTACCTAGAAAATGATTTGTCACGCGCGCGAAAACGAGCAATCGATCCTCTAAATGTACATAAATGTGCCTCAATGGAGCAGAATATCTAATCGAGCGTGTAATATACGAGGCACGGAGCTTCTTTCCGCGAGCAGCGCAAAAAGCGCAGGCGAGCATCGTCCAAGCATTGAATTGTGCTTTATACATTATGTATGTATGTATGTAAAGCTGGGGTTTCTCCGCGAGCGCAATCGAGGCGTTTGGTCTATAATCGACTGACCTCCTCCCTCCCATGTGGAAGCCTAGCGAACACTCCTTTCGACGTGCAGAATTTTCCGCCGCGGTGCTTCTCTCCGACTCTCCTTGCACCCTTGAGGTGTATATAGTCATAATCACACAGCACTCGGATGTACGTCACTTTTTCTAGCCTCTCGCTCTCTCGACTTGTGGAATTTTTTCTTCAAACCGGATATTGTGTGTATTATTGTATGCCCGACCGAGTTACACGTTAACAGAGATTCGGGCCAAAAGTTTGGCTAATTTACGCTGCCTCACGTGATCAAACATTTACATGAAGTAGTCTTCGAGTTTTTTTGAATTTTACAAAAGTTTAACTTGTCAATCTTAAAGCTCAGTATCGATGTACACTCCGGTCGAGTATCTCAGCACTCTCAGCAGCAGAAAGAAAGATTTTTTCGCAGCGCATGTGGCACGTGCAAAATATTCTGTCGCGCTTCATATACATGTACTTGCTTATGGTCAAATGGTACGTAGTAGCCTGAGTCAGACACGCGTTATGTACTCCTAATCGTTATACGCGTGTCTTCGGAAGTGCAAATTGACGAATACACGATGTCCTATAAGTATACATATCGTCAGACAACGAGCTAAGAGCTCGAAACACGCACAAAAGAGGCATTGATGAGCATTCGTCGAGTCCCGGCGATGAATTTCCAATGGCGATCGTCGTAAATAGACGATCACGGGAATGCGAGTATCGTGTCGACGCGAAATACTCGTGCTTTGTTATACATAATGTAAGCAACACGAGACGAGGACTCGAACGACTCGAGAAACTTCGAGCTATATGCGGCGCTTGGATCGCTTTGCCTCGTTGTTCAGCTGCAGCGCGAGCTTTTTGACAGGCCGACGATTGAGAGCTTGCGACAAGCGGACAAATTAATATATGTATTTCCTTTGGAGCTATTCGTGCGATCTAGAAACTCGTGATTCGAGTCGTTGAAAGAAAATGCGTACCTCGCGCCTTGTAACACATTCGTAGCCTACAACGAGTCGTAAAAGTTTTCCCCCGCGAAAATCCTCGACGCATGTGCGTAACGCGCAAAATACGTCTTTTCTCATAATCTATATCATTCCAAAACGTGCACCGCACTGATAAACAGCAGCCGTAGAATTGCTTAGATATACTATGTACCTATGTACGTAATGATACATCGCGCATCGAGTGAAAGTTCCAAATAAGAAAGGACGGGAAAAAAACAATTTCAGTTGCGTTAAACTATATCCGAGCCGAGCGAGAGAAAGTAAAAAAGTAGTCGCTAGAGACACATTTTTCGAATTCGGGGATGGGTTATACGGAAACTAGGGTCGTTTCCGATGCCTAAGTTTACAGAGATATGTTGCATAAAAATGCACAAGAGCGTCCAAGTAAAGCATGTACACTTGAATTGTTTGAAAATTCGAGCAGAAGTATATCGCACAAAGCAGTTTTTCATGCCGCGCGCAACTATAACAAAGAGATCGCAACGTCCTGCGCAATTTGTCAAAGTCAACTATCGCATCGATGGAGAAAAGGCATGTATGAATAATAAAAGATCTTCGCATTTGTTATACACACAAACAAACAAAATAATGCGCCATGACGAAAGCTCACCTATGTTTGTACGAAAAAAGAAAAGCCCCCGCACGCGTGTATGTGTATAAATGATTTGAAGGTCGGCGCTCAAAGCAAAGAAAGTACGCACGCACTATATTCATTCGTGTCTCAACTTTTACTCTCAATGAATTATGTGCTCTCGAGCGTACATAGAGAAATAGAGAGATAGAAAGAGAGAGAGAGGGAGGGAGAAAAAGAGTCACGGAGCTATTGTAACGATTGGCATGAGATCAAATAGCTCGAGAGCGAGTGGGGGAAGACGAGCAAGAGACATAATCAGCGTTTTTACGAGAAAGAATTTGATGAGGCGCGCGCAGTCGGCGACATCTTTTGGACATTGCACGCGCGCAACTCGATGTTCATGGGAAAACATCCAAGAGAGGATATAGCGCATATATATATATATAAAATAATAACGCCGCGACGTTTGCAGCCAAATCGACGCTCGTACATTTTCACTTGCACGATATAAAACTCACGCGTGGGTGAGCAGCTTTCTAGAAGCGTCGGCTAGTCCACCGAGCTGGAAATTGTCATAGAAACATAATATTTACTTTTACTCCGTGTACCGTGTGTATATGACTTTTTTTTCTTTCTCAAGAGGACTCGCTGTATCGATTGCCCGAGGTATTTCGAGCCTTGTGCGATCTCCGTCGCCTATATGCATAAACGATACACACGCATACACTCGAATCGGATGTATTCAACTGGCTGATACAGTCGGATCGGATTTAAAGTTTCATAGCTTATAGGTAAGTTAAAAATAGTTCGTTTCCACACGAGGTTCGCTGTATGTATATAATTTTTTGTTTCTATATCGCCCGTCGCAGACTCGAGA